CTTGATCTAGCTATTTGCTATCGTAATATTGGACATATTGGATGCTCTGTGATAAATTGATTTAAAAATTGTTCATTGATCTGGATTGTTTTTCAGGTAAGGATGATGTTGCTAAAGAACTCATCAAGGGAGGATCCGATCTTACTTCTAAAAACAATATTGAAGAGACACCTCTTCAAACAGCTGCTGCGCTGGGTAATTTTGAATATTTTCACTGAATAAGAAATTAATTTTTCTCATTGGTCGATATTATTCTCCAGGCAACTTAAAGATCGTTCAATTTCTTGTCGAGAAGGGCGCCAGTGTTACTATAACAAACAAATTTGGGCAGACACCGTATAAGATAGCTGCTGAGTATGGTGATGAAGGTAATGTTAAACATTTCTCTTTAGAAAATAATGTGATTCAAACTATATCACTGATCGATATTATTTTTCAGAGCACAAGAAGATTGCTGCCTATCTTAAAACCAAACTTTAACCATTGCTGCTGTTAACATTGTGTCAAAAAGTACCTCAAGTTATTTGTCTTTTAAATTGCTTACTGGTATAGATATTGAGTAGAATATTTTTCTTCCTGGATTTGTGCAACTTATATGTGTGAGTGATACGCCGTAAGAAACCAACGGCGATGTTGGTTTTTGTACTTAAATCAAATGAAAATTGCACACTCCGTTGAATCAATGCAGTTTCAAATTGAATGTTGGTTAAGGTTGTGCCAATCCAGAGAAAGAATACTTTACCCAAAACCTAAGCCACAAGCAATTTGCATGAAAATGCCAAGTACTTTTCTTTGACAGAATGTAAATAAATCAAACACAGTAAATCATAAAAATAAATCAAAATTTCGATCAGTTCTGAAGTGACTCTTGTTCACTTTCAAGGGAAACAAATTGTAATAAAAATATTTCATTGTTGAGCCGATATTTTTTCGCCTTTTTATAATTCAATGCGAAAATTTCTTTTAAAAGGACACCAATTTGATGAGATGAGCATTGAGCATATTACATTGAGAATACATTGTAAAGCCTAGACTATGCTATATACAATCAATCAATGAGCACACCCAATTTGTTTTTTATATACTCATCCCGATGCCTCATGTACTTTACAATACCAAAATGCCAAACCCTAAAATTTGTCTATATCGCATACTTTTAACCAACGTGATGACAGTTCAAAACTTGTCTGGTCGCGCCACATACTCGCAGTGGCGAGCACAAGTAAGACAGTTTCATGTTCTGTCAAATTTGGCGGTTGTTTCACTACGAGCAAGACACACTTGACTGTCACTTGCTCGCAGTGCAACAGTAGTTTGGAAACTATGTTGCAGAGATCACCACTTCGGCACGTTGCAGCACCACTGCGTTTTTCATTTAACCTGAAAACTGTCATCAGCTTGCTTTTTACAAACAATAAAATTATTAAAACTATTAACTCAAAGTCAACTCTAGATCGATTCGCCTTCACTTTCTCTACGAACATCAAAAACAAATTGTTTCTCATTGGAGCTTGTTGTTTTCATATAGAATTTCAAGCGAATATTGTGTTCATTTACATATCTACACCTCCGCGCCTGTGCATTGCAAACATCAACAAATAATCAAATAGACAGAAAGTGAGAATTGACACAAGAAGCTCGAATTAAAAACATGTTTTCAAATAATATGTTTTCAATTTCAGTCGTAAGGAATTTTGTTTTGCTGTACGTGTCATAACGATGACAAGTCTAC